AAATTCATAAATCAAACAATGTTACGAGAAAAATTTGATAACATGTTTATTTTTGCGGTTTTTTGGCCGTACAAATCTGCTTTAAAGATATTATATTTTATAAATTTAAAAAACAAAATTTACAGCTAAAAGTTTTTTAAAACCTTTGAATTTTGTAGAATTTGTTAAAAATGTTAGAGCGCTACATTTCCAATAAAGCTCAGAAGTTTAGAAAATTGGACTCCCAGTTATCAATCTATTATTTATGTTTTAAGCAGTAGTAACAGCAGTAGTAACTAGGTTCACTTGTTTTTAATTTTTTCCTAATTTGATGTTATTCATTCATTGATTCGTTCGTTTCATTTAGTGAATTCATTAAGACACACCACCACGCATTCAGTGGAAGGACCGGGGAAGCCATGACCCCCAGTTATAAGCAGTGTTGGGTCAAAGTTAAAGTAAACTAATTTGTCAGTTCGTTACTAGATTAGAGTAGAACTCAATCTTCTGAGCAAAAAAATGTATAATTTGGCAATGGAAATCCTGAAGTTTTTGATATATAGTATCTTCAGCCCACCAAACAGTTACTATTATGTACTAAATGATTATAGTTCGAATTTTTGGAATGTGAATTAAGCTAGTAGTTTGTAACTAGTGGCACACAATCTCCTGAGCAAGAAAATGTATAATTTGGTAGCGGAAATCACAATGTAAAGTAATTCAGAGCAGCCAAGAGCGCCAAATTTTTGAACACGCCTCAGCTTGTCAGCTAAGCTGAAATGTTACTTGGATTGTGAATTTTTTGTTCAAGTTTGTCTATGGTGACAAAGTAAAGAGAAGCAATAATTGTGAAACATTTTGTTGAAAGTAAAATTAGTAGGAACAAAACAATATTTTTGTCCTCACCCTTTGAAAACTGGAGCTATTAACATTATTAAACTTAACAGAATGAATTAATCTACAATTTATCATTAAATTAATGTCACCAGTGAGACACTGAGAAATGTTAGCATGAACAAGAAGTGACTCAATACTCCCCAACAAATCTATTCCGACAACTTCTTTAACTCATCCAACTTGTTCTTGTGCCTTTCTATGGCCTTCTGTCGGGTGGTTAGTTGTAACAAAATCTATATGATAACAATAACTAACTAGATTATATTATGGTTTTCAACTTATGTGCTACGACAACTGTGCTAACTACTGATGAAAGTGCAGTGAAGCAACAATAAGCAGATGATGTGAAATAATTAGATATGGTGAGGTAATGAAGTGGAGATGATGAGGTAGTAAAGTAAGATGTTACCTGGTGGTCAGCAATCTCCTCTTTGTGGTACTTAATTTCATCGTGTAGAGAGTTCTTCAATGTTTCCAACTGTTGTGCATTCTGCAGAAAATGTGTTCAAATGAATCATAATTTGCTAAAAATATTTTTGATACAAATTAAAACAAATAATCAAAACATTGAAAATTGAAACAGTAACTAAAAAATCAATTATAAATTAAAACAAGATATATTTAATATATCTATATATATTAATATATATATATATATCTATATATATCTATATATATCTATACATATCTATATATATATATATATATATATATATTAGATATATATAAAAATATTTTTGATACAAATTAAAACAAATAATCAAAACATTGAAAATTGAAACAGTAACTAAGAAATCAATCATAAATTAAAACAAGATAGCAGTTAAAAACACTTTCTATGGTTTAATAATTGAGAAGTTAACAGCACTAAAAGATGAAAACAAAAGCTGACTGACTCACTCACCAGTTTTCTAAAGTACTCTTCCTCTTTTGCGGCTTCTCTCTTTCCAAATGGGCCCCCAGCTTCTCTGATGGAACCCCCTGCACCACCTCCCTGTTAGCAATCGATGAATATTTAAAATGCTAAACTAACAAATGAGATCAAGCAAAATTCTATACACTATAATAAATGAAGCTAGCAAAAGTTGACACAACATTGATACATCTACATCAACATACTGCTCCAGACCCACTGCCCCAACCAGGCTGCTGACTATCAGATGATGATGAAGAAGATGAAGACATAGGTCTTTTTGGATTGAAAATAAATGTGTATTTTATACATTATATATAAATTACATTGTAAGAAATTAGTTTTTAAATTGACAGTTGAGTTACTTTGTTAACTGTCTTATTATTTAAGAACTATACAACAAACTTAAATATTAGTCAAATTAACATTAAACAATCAAAATAAATTATAAATTACATACAACTTTTTTCCCATTAAAAATTTACAAATTTAAATACAGCTCATTTGAAAAACATACAAAAAGAAATCCTATTCAGAAATTTCAAGGAAGAATAGGGATGGTATTGTATCAAATGGTATTGTTGAATAACATTATATTGTATTTTATACCTCTTTATTGCTGCTCTATATGACATGATACAGTTTAAATTAAATAATAACTAATACTATATATATACTTTAACAGGAAGCTAGTTGCTGCATTTAAATTTTACTAATTTCAAATTATTATACAACTTTAGTTAGGTAGTTTAGTTAACTTGTCATTGTTCAGACTTACTTAGCTCATTTTTTAGTTATTTAGTTGTAGTGTAGTTAGTTAGTAAGGGTTAGTTAGTTTTTTTTAAATTTATTTAAAAAAATTTTAAATGGAAGAAAATTTAATTAAAGTAATTATTATTATAGTAGTAGTAGTGTAGAGATGAGACGCTCACACTCACTGAGTGGGCCCTCAAAAAAGTAAATACAATTATTTAATTACCAAATTAGAATTACGTAACTATTGTAATAATTACAATGTAATTGTTAGTAGTAGTAGTACTTAGACATGATTTAGTTTAGTTAGTAAATGCAAAATTATAAAAATACATGGAAAAATTTAAATATATGATAAAAAAAAGATAGTTCTAACTTTGAAAACGCAATTCTTCTGGCCAGCGATGATGTCGCAAGTTTTTTGCAAGCGGACATTATGTTCTTTTAAAAATTTTCGACGACGGATGGCGGCCAACCTCGAAAAAGCGCAGTTTGCACGATCATAAGGTCAATGAAAGAACGAAAATTAAACTTAGGAAACGACGAGTAAAACAATTCAAAAAGGTTCAACATAAAATGCCTGCTACAATGCACATATTACCTACAAACATATTATTTTATATATGCGAATAACAATACAATTATATATACATGTATATTCTTTATGCAGGAAAGTTAAATAATTATTTTATACACATAAATAAATGTATATTAATAAAAATTCAATCGATCCGATTCCTCTTGATACCTCCATTGGGTCATTAACAGCAAAATAAGATATAACACAAGATTTAATTACTATGATCGCTTTGACGAATTTCCAAAAAAGTCACCAAATCAGATGAGGATAAAAATTAATGTAGAATTATTAAAATTTCTTCATCAATTAATCTGATACCCCAATGTCTCTGCATTTAGCATTCACAAGCTCCCGCATTATTTCAGGGGTTATGTCTTTGTGAGGACATAATTTTAGAAGCTGAATTAGAGCGTCTTTTTGCTTTGACGAAACATCTTGCTTATACCTTTGTGCAAAGGTTAGAAGGCATTGATGCCATAAAACTGGCAAATCTTGCCGCTTCATACTTTGGAACCTGTTCCATAATAAATGAAATTTGGCAATAATGAGATGAATCTTAAAAATAAATTTTAAATAAAATGTTCCCAGTAACACAAATTCCTTACCTCAAAAAATAATTGACTAAATCATCAACAACTGTATAAGGCAAAGCAAATTTTTTGTCCAGGAGAGTTGTAAGGAATATGGAGATGGCAGGTGAATAAGGCATCTGACACATTTCCATCATAGCTAATGCTGAATGCTCCATTTTCATGGAACAATGAGCCAAAACACTCGAAACTATCGTGGCCTCACGTGCTGTGCAGTCTTCTGCCTATCAATAAATCAACAAAATAATTAGTTAGTTACTCAATGAATCAATTAAAAGATTTATTAATATTTTTATTTAAACATCTTTAAAAATTAGGCAAAATATAAAAAAAAACTGATAACTGACACTGCACAGTGGCAAAAGAAAACCTTTGATGAATCCATAGGATTTGAACATGCATCTCATCAGGGCCTACAGAGAACCAGTGATGTTAAAATAATCAAATGTTCAGTATTTCAATTCTTAACCGAAATTCTGTATTTAAATACTTTTCAAATACCTAACACAGCTGTTAGTATTTAGTTATCGTCTATAAGTAATAAAAAAAACAAATATTTTTAATACTATGCATTTTTAATTAAGTACTGTCTAAGCAGGGCTACTCAATTAAGTATTTGAAATGCCCCTCAAACCCGGAAATACTTTTAAAATATTTAAATACTCTATGTATTTAACCACACTGGACTAAACCATTTAAATGTTTCAATAGCAGAAAGCAGAATCAAATAAAATTTAATGCTGAATGGGAAATTAAGATCAAATAACATGACTGAAATAAAAATGTATGAACTTCATAAAGGTGAGGATTGATTCGTTTAAACTCTTTAATATCATTTCGGACTCTTGGCAACAAAACTCTCTTTACATACCTACAAAACAAAATTTTAAATATCTAAAACTTTAAATAAACAATTAATCTTTTAAACCATTATTGCAAATACGTTCTCACAGCTGCTGCAGTCTCCATGAAATGAAGCTACCAGCACGCACACACACATACACATATATATATCGCTAAAAAAATTAAAGAAATTAAACAAAATAAAATTGTTGAACAAGATTTAGTAGCTGACCTAGCAACTTGCCTGTCTTTCAGGTTTGAGACGAAAATTCGTGTGGCTGCAAGAACAGCTGCGGTGCTCCATGTATCTGGTTCTGTCAACTCCAACAACTAGCAACAGATAAATGATCATTCAACAAATTAATCTTGTTACAATATTCACTACAACCTGACAGAAGCAATTATACAACTTTATAACAAGTTTCATATTAGTTGACTAAAAATTAGCAGATAATATCAAGTTTTTTATTTGAACTAGTTTGTAACAAAATGTAGCAACATCATAATAGAAAAATTATAAAACCTTTTCCCAAATGCGATATTTAGGTATGATTTTCAATGGCTTAGGAACGGGACCTGATCTGTGTGAGCTTAACACTTGGCCAACTCCTCTGAATAAATTAATGACATCCTCATTCAGTTCCATTTCAATTGATGCCACATCTTGAAATGAAAATATATTCTTTACATAAACAATGAACATAGCTTATAATATGTAATGGTATGTTAAAATCAGATGTGCACTGCACAAAAGACATTATTATTGTTACGTAAAATTTTAACATTTTCATGAGAAAGATAAAACACCTGAACACTGGCTTTCAATATCTGTCCTTTTCGAGGAGATTGCATAAGCGAACTCATCAGCAAACTTTTTTTCATCGGGTTTATTGAAAAATCTTTCAAATTGATTTTTTACTTCCTCATCTAACTCCTAAAAAAATTTTAGCAAAATAAAAAATATGATAGATATGATATGACTTAGATAAATATAAAGCCTGACATGATATAAAGAGAAGCTAATTATTAAAATTTTTTAAATACATGAAACTATGGCGAAACAATTTATTATACAAACAGTTAAAAAGCTGTTATGAATTCACTAACAATTATATTACAATTAAATAAAAGTAACAACCTCATCATCAGGATGCATGTAACCAGCTGCTGCTGCATCAACTTCATCATCACTTCCAGCATCTTCATCAGATTCCTTTGGTGAGGATAACAAAGTCTCCTTAGAAAGGTTTTTCAAGGCAGATCTTGGAAATTAAAATCAGTTTTTTCAAATTCTCATTTTAAATTAAAATCATTATTTAAACCATACAATTATTGAATAAGTTTTCATTTACCTTTTTGATTCACCACATATTTCCTTGTCACTAACATCCTCATCATCATCACTTAACTCCAACATCATTTCTTTTTGCTGTTTTAGTACTTGCTTCATAATTTTTTTTGACTCCTTACTACTAGCAAACTGTCGTTTAATGAAAATAAAATTACTAAAACCAGTTTATGGTTAGGGTTAGCTTTTGAATTATATAATTTTATAATTAAGTATTTATTATTCAAGAATTGAGTCTTAATCATTGAGTTAATTAAAATTTAAGAAAACAAAGTAAAAAAGAAACAAACGAAGGCTAAGAAAGAATTAGCAATAACTTGCCATTTAAGATTAAGAAGTTAAGAACATATAATTGTTAGTTTAGTTAATTAAGTATTTTTTATTTAGGTTAGTCTTATTTAGGTTTGAAATTTGTCTTCCAGTGGCGGATCTAGGAAGCCAAGGGAGCCAGGTGCCACGTTGTAAGCAGTTTTTAATAAATGCTAGTTTGAAAAAGGAGCATTTATGTGTCAATTCAACCACAAATTAAATGGGATAAGCAAGAAAAAAGGTCGTCAGCCACACTACCCCAGAATCTTGGCCCCCCCCCCCCGTGTAAATTAAAAATTTTTTTAAATTTTGGCCTCTTCCTTGGTCAATGTTGTCTAGATCTAGTTACTAACAACTAGTATTATTTAATTAATTTTTATGTTGTATTAAAATTATTATTAAAAATAAGCAATAAAATAATGAACGTGAACGGACAAAAAAAAACGAACGAACAAACAATAAATGAATAAAAAACCAATAAACATGGCAGTGGTACCTAAACTTAAGAAAAAGAAATGAAAAATAAATAAACAAACCTCGTCATCCTCTTCGTTCTTTCGTTTTCTTTTTTTCTCCCTGGTCTTCAGATGGGCTGTTGAAGTGCTTGCAATTTGCTCCACCAGAGATACCGGCTTTTTAATTAGTGGATCCTTATTTGAACACCTTTTCTTACCTACTTTCGTTGACATCTTTGCGTAAAGCAAACACGATCGTAAATGGCAAAGACAAACAAGCAAATTTTATTTTTTGAAGTAGCACGTGCTGCTGTTTTATCTACCGTGAGTTTTCGTACATAAAAAACTAGTTGTAAAAAAAGCAATTTATTTTATATTAAAACTGATAATACAATTAAAATTTGTTTTACTCAAACGGTTGGTACATTTTTTAAATATTATTTTGTTTTTTTAACAGCGTTTTAGCCCGTATAAATTCAAACAAATATATATTCAGATACACAAAAGGTTAAAAAAAAATCATTCATTCATTAAGCATATACACATTCAGAAAGATAATGTCATTTTTTAATAACATAATCAATTTTAAATATAAAACACCGTACAAAATATAAACTCAAATTTACTTTTAGTTGATTTTCATTGTTATTTTATAACCTGAAATTTGCCACCAAGCTTTGTGATTTTGTTTTTGCTAAAAGAAGCTTCGCTAAATGAATGATCCTGTAACAAATCCAAATACCTCTTTAAATAATTTTAGAAATGATTACACGGGTTTGGTTTGGACATTTGAATTTGAAACATGACGACAAACTCTGATTTATTTTCATCATCTTCTTCATCCCAGCTTCACTCTTCTCACAGTTATTTGGCCTTCTCAGCCAGATTAAGATTATTATTATTGCTCTTTATCTTAGTAGATGTGCTGGCCCCATCAGCATCGTGTCAGGAAATCAGACATTCTAGGGATGGTGTAGTATGCTTTTCTTTTCTATCGTCATTATATTATATTTTATTTTATAATTTTTCAATTGCAATATCATATTTTATTTTTAATTATTTTATGGTGCTGATTGATTGCATGTTCCATGTTGTTGTTGTTCTTGCCCCTTCAGGGGGGCCCTCAGGATTCTCATCGAGGTCGGAGCCATGTTTCATGTTTATTTTATCTGTTTATTTCTTTGATTAACACACACACACATTATATATATGATAAGTATGAATTAAAAACATGAAACATTATGATTATATTTATGAAAACAGCTACTGCTAGCGGGATATTGAGAACTACCTTCTACTCAAAACTTCCAGCTCATCGAAGTGAATATTTGAAAAACATTAAAATGAAAAGGACGCATCAAGTAAGTGATTGTTAATTTTTTGTTTTAACATGAATAACATAAAATTAGTAATTTGAAACTTAAAATGTTTATTTTTTAGGAAGACTTCAATAAAGAAAAATTTGTTTTGAGAATTTTTTTCTTGCTAAGTCAAAATTTTGTTAGTATTTGATAGTGTCATTCATTTTTAAAAAATATGTTATGAAAAAGTTGATGAATTGCATAAAAATTGGTACATTGTTACTGAAATACCAACTACATTTCATTTACTCTCATGATGTTTGAATAGTTGTCTGAATACAGTGAAGGGGTGCCATTCATTACAAAGCAACTTGAGAAGGTTCTTTCTGCTTGCAACAAGATCTTCAAACATCTGCATAAAAATTTCAAACTCAAACGAATGAGCAACTTTAAATTTAACATTGACTACCTTGACAGCAGCAGTAGTCACAACTTCAGCAGCAACAACATCAGCAGTATGAACGACATGAACAACATAAGATCTATTTTTTCGAGATTGATAGATTATTCTTATGACAACAAACAACTTGCCATCAACTTTCATTACTTACATTATATTAGACTAGTCAGCAACGAGTCAAACAACGAGGATTCAAAAACACATGACTCATCATCTCTTCCTGATTCAATTTGCACCAATCACAGAGCAGTTGGCTTCACTAACGTCAACAACTTCACTAACGTAATGCAAACTGCCCTCGATCTCTCTCGTGCTATTGCTCACACCATTGGCCTTCAAGACGATAGTGATGGATGTTTTTGTGCTGGAATGCACAAATGCATCATGAGGTGCATTAACATTTTTATGAAGCATTGACGCAGTTAACGATTATAATTGTTAATAGATAATGGCACGTTTCAAAACTTTTGCAGGCCCATCATGATGAATCACCATCAGTTCAACAACATCAGCTGGTCCAAATGCAGTTTGAAAAACTTCCAATTGAATATGCAGGCCAAACTTTATGAATGTCTCAAGGTTAGATCAACAAAACATATTGCCGCTCTTTCAGCTGAAGCATATGATGAGTTAGTTACTGTCACCACTGCTGCCACTACTACTACCAGTGCAAGCGTTCATGCAGCTGGTGATGGGAAGGATGGAAGACGTTCAGAATTTTATGAAAACCTCGCTGGCGAAAATGAAAATTTGGTTGGTAAGCTGGGCTGCCTGCTGCATCAAGCTTCATGTTTTCTATCCTGTCTATTCTTTTTTGTTTTTATTCAATCATTGTGGGTATTTTTAAACTTTATGGTGGAATTAATTCAAATGTGTTTGTTTGATTGTAAGATTGTAAATTTTTCATCCAATTAATCATTTATTGATTCTTTTTTATTTGTTTTGTTTCACCCACTCGTTAACTATAAAATTATGCAAATGTTAAATGTATTATATTTATTAACAGTCCTTCCAAACCTTATGTGGCAATGGCATTCTTGAGAGATCCGAGGAATGCGACTGCAACCTACGTGATGATGTCATCAATTTATTATTATTTTTGTTATTAGTTTTGTTAATATTTTTCGTGTTGTTTGAATTAATATTGTTGCTTTGCAATGCATATGTAGTACCTGTTTTGCCAACAAAAATAGCGTTGACTTCAATTTATTGTTTAAAAATTAAAAAGTTATTTGTGGGTATAGTTCATTTCTTGAATAGAATGTAGCGCATACAATGCAGCGTAATTTATTTAAACATATTCAATTGCAATGCCACGCCCCTGCAGACGTCTGTCCATGCCAAGGTAACAATCAAGTAGCTCAGTTAATTATTTCACTTCACGTTGCTCCAGTCTGCTTTTTGCACTTTCTTTTTAATTCGGTCCAATTATTTTCTGTTAAATTTGAATATAGCCTTTTTTCATTCAATTTTTTTTTCTAAAATGGATTTCAAATTCCTTCTTTTCTATCATTCATTTTCATTTGAGTTGTAGTTAGTCACTTTTTTAATGTTTTGTACCTGACGCATGTTTCTGCATGTGCTACGACCAGATCAAGTTGGGAACGTGCTGCATATCAATCTATGCAGAACTTGTTTATAGCGCACGCAAGTTTAAGCAACACACCTGGTCGCACATACAACGTACATACAAACTTTGACGTACGCACTCACCAACATGCAGGACTGCCACTTATTTGAGCCATGCTGTGACTACAAACATTGCCTGCTGCTGCCACATGCGACCTGCCAACGGGGTGCATGTTGTCACAATTGCACTGTTGGTGATCCGTTTTTCTGATAGATTGAATGTAGATAGTTGGATGAATAAATGATTTAATTTAGATTAATGGATGATTTTTGGCGAATAAATGATGGATTGAATAATAATTTGCTTTACAGCTCCGACCAAGCAACAGGATTTGTCGCTTGAAAAAAAGTTCTTGTGATGTTCCCGAGTTTTGCGATGGGTTTTCAGAGGAGGTAAGTTATTGGCCGGTTGCTTGGCTGGCTCTAATGACGAGTTGATGAGCTGCTTACTCTGATGTTATTCTTATGTTCTTTTGTTCATTATTTTTCCAATAAATCAATCAATCTTCGTTTTGCGTCCAGAGACCCGGTTTCCCGAGGTAGGACGATGATCAAAAAATTACTAATGTTGAAGATAATGATCTCAAAAAATGATTTATCTATATCAAAAAATAATTCTTATTGACGCTTATAAAACGTTTTCATTACAACAAGTGTCCAGAAGATGACCACATGGACAATGGCGAAAAGTGTACTATGAAATTAAAACAGTCTGCCAACAAACTGCAGGTTAAGCATGAAAGTGCCAATGCGGAAAAGTCATCAATCTTTGCCACATCAACAATAAAATTCGATGAGGATGATGCCGGTGGTGGTGTGAAAAGGTTGGATGGTTTGTGTTTCAAGGGAAGGTGTGTTTCAAGAGGAGGACAGTGCATACGCAGCTTTGGATATGGTCAGTAATGGTGCGATCGATGGCAGGGTGGTGAAATTGATGCCTGTCTCCTTGCCTAACTAACATGCGGGCACAATTAAAATTTTTATGACATGATTCCATAACATATCATTCACACATGCACAAGCTCTCGTTGCCGGGTTTGTTAAACGTTAAATATTTGATTATTATTACTGTTGAATAAATTGAGGTAATCGATAAAAACTTTCTCGATTGCTTGAAGATTACGAAGACAGAACAAGATCATTTTACGAGAGAGTCAATGTAGTTGGCAACGAAGATGGGCACTGTGGAGTGCTCGCGACATCAACCACGTCGTCATCTCCCTATTTATCACCATTGTTTCCTCCAGCAAAAACATCGTCAGCATTATTTTCATCTTCATCAATCCCACCTTCAGCAGCCTTCTTTTTTCCATCGTCGTCGTCGTCGTCACTTGAATTGAATGTCAGAAATGATTATGTTGCGTCAGAAAGCTTCTCAAAATGTCGTCTCAAGTCTGTTTATTTGCCCTGGAAATTATTGTTGTTGTTTTGTTTTCATCTTTCGCTCTGTTATTATTCTGGGATAAATTGGCGATAACATGCTTCCAAATTATTTGAACTGTTACCAGAGATGCTTGGTGCGGCAGACTTCAATGCAGAACATCCTCCCATGCCTCATCGTCGACCTCTTCACTCCAGCGTTTGTTATTGATGGTTGAAGATGGTAGTCAGTGTGGAATGAATGAAGTTTGTTTCCAACAAAAGTGCGTCAATGTGTCCAACTTTTCAAGAGGCCGATGCCCTCTTGGCTCCAACGGACTCGTCTGCTCTGCGCGTGGGGTAGGTTGTTATTGTTCTTATTATCATCATTGTTGTTATTATCATTGTTATTGATGACGTGCAGGCATGCACTGGCAGGTCCAAGTGTTACTGCCATCCTGGCTACGGCGCCAATGATTGCAGCCGAACGATGGACGTTATTACGCAGCCTTACGAGGAGCTCCACCATCTTTCTCCACCGCCATCTTCCATATTTCATGAATTTTATAATAAGGATAGTGATGATGATGATGACGATGACGTAATTGAATCAGATGTTGCAAATGAAGTTATGAATTGTTAGTTTTTCCGAATTTACAAATCACTGAATAAATTAATGAATACACTAATTGAAGCATGGCTGAATGAATGAAATGCTTTTATTTAATGATACTGACGTTGATTGTGTGATTGTGATGGTGTGATGTTCTATGTGTCATTGTTTAATAGAATGATTAAACGTTTATTATTTGCCAGACAAGTTTCACATCTATATAAACCACTTAAATTCTGCAAGCAACACCAGCATCAACGACACCAGCAGCAGCAGCAACAACAACAACAAAAGCCTCATCAACACAACCCGTACTTGGTTGCTTTTTTTGATGGCAGTTGTAATAAGTTTTGCTGCTCTTCTATTTCTCGTCTGCGTTCTCTGTTACAGGTCAGTTTTTTGTTTTCAAGTTGTCCTTATTTTGATGTCGATGTGGCAATTATTTAAATGATGTGTGATTACTTTGTTTTGACAGTTGTTTTATAAAATTTTTGATACTCCTAGGCGACGTGTTCCGCAGAGCCACTCAGCTGGTACATATCAAAAAGGTTTTTATAAAGGAGGCGGCTTGAAGAAGCGACAGAAGCGCAATGCTCAGGCTCTCGCTCATGTTAATTTGCCCCCCGTGGAAGGTGATGTTGTGCATGCAAAACCCTTAGTTGAAAGAATAATTTCATTTGGAAGCCTTCCTTCATACAAGTATATGTTATTTGCATTCTCTTTACTTGTTCGTTTGCATGGGTCAAACCATTTTAATTTTCAAATTTTTGAGGATTATGTATTTCTAGATTGATTTTCTAATTCAATAAACTTTATTTGTTATTACTAACATGCCGTCTTATCTATTGAGCAAATGTTACTTTAATACTACGACGATATTAGCATTGTAGAATAATAAAAAAAATTCATCATTCAAGTCATGTACACCGTATTGATGGGGGAATAATTTTTTACTTAATTATCACAGAAACACTGTAGTCCGCGAAAAATTAAAATATTATATTTGGCAGAGCTGAGAAGCGTAAGAAAGTGATGCGTGAACACTGGAACATTAATGAGCGTGGTTACAACCTCAAATCATCTAATGGGATTGTTGAAATGGATGGTACCGAAAGGCGAAGTGAAATGAAGACAATGATATTTCAGTCGCCGAGCAGCATCACTCACGCCCAAACTTTGCCTGACCCGCCAGGCAGAGGAATTCTCAGGCAACCAGGTGCCGGACCAAGATATAAAAAAATCGTGCAGTCAAGGAAAAATGTTGGTAAGGATGGTGAATGTATTGTTCAGAGCAGCGAATTGAACGATGTAGTAAATTTTATTAGTAAGAATATGCAGTGCGATGTTGATCATTCAACTCAACAAACGAAGAATGAGGTTCAAGATTGTAATGGAATCGAAGCATTAGAGTTTAAAATTGGTGACTGTTTACGTAATGGAGAGAATGTTAATAACAGTGATGCAGCACCTTTATCATCCAAACCGATTACTGAAACAGAATGCGCAGTTTTGAACAATGATTTAATAAATGCCATTGAACTAGCTGTTACAGACGAGGAGCATCAACTAGATGTAGATGAAGTCGGATTAGATGTAGACAAACGGTGATTGATCTATCTTATTTTATATTGTATATATATTTTGTTGCGGGCTATATACCATTTGTCATCGTGAATGATATGTTGAAATATATTCAATGTCTCTTATTTGCTTTCATTTTTCAATAGTGTGTTTGTAAAGAATTGATTGCGAATAGTTTAAACGCCATCGCTGAAAATTGTTAATTTCTGCATCATTTGTTAACCCTGCGGAGCCGAGAGAAACGTCACCACAAGCGTTGAAATATATTAATAACTAAATTAATAATTGAACGAACTAATAAACATTTTATTACAAATTAAATTGCTTCTAAGGCTCGCTATGGCTTAAAATAAATTGTAGGTTGCAATGATTTGAGTCAAAACAAAAACTGAAGATGAAATTAAAACAGCACGAGTGACAATACAATTGTGTAACAGAGTGTGCCGAGTTGTTCTTTTGCAATATTCAGAAGATTTAATTAAACATGAATTAAACATAACAAATTTCTTCTTTGCTATAACATTAAACAGGAATAAAAATCTGTGAACGTAAAGTTTAGGAATAGACAACAAATTAGCGTTAAATAATCTGAAATTTGATATTTATTCAGATCATAATAAAAACGAATAAAGAATAGTATAAACATCTATCTAAGATAATAATATGAGACTTAATGTAACGACCCAAACTACAATACAATAAGTGAAACAAGGATAAATAAGAGAATAATATAAATTTTAGTCTAAAACAATACCTAGATTTTTTTTAGGTACTTTGTTCGATATGCTAATTGTGTGCTCTTTCCAACATAGATTGCTTGAGATCGTAACTCCTGGAAAGACTAATTTGTCCAATCGACCTACCAAATTGTTATTGTAGAAAATAGGGAATGTTAGTAAATTGGTGACAACATAAGATCGGCGGGCGTTCCCATAGGTTTTCATTCCCATAGGTAAAGTTGAATGTATTCTTAACCCAGAGCTCGCAAGAGTTACTTGTGGATGATGCAAATCAATTTATCAAAAACTTATGCAATTCATTTTGGTCCTAAAATTGTGCTAAAAAATGTCATAAAACACAAACAAGTGAAGAATATGAAGCACTAACTTGAACGGCATTTAGTCAGAAGCGCCCCCGCCACGTCAATGAGGGGGTTAATAATAAAACGACAGTCTAGAAATAATAAGTAACGAAGGTCTAGAAATAATATACAACTTAACTAATATAACGAAAATAATATTGTGTTGATTGTGTTTGATTGCTGTTGTTGGTGTTGTGTTGAACAAAAACAAACAAAACATTACAACCAAACTAGAAAAGAGTTTCTAACTTACCTATGTTCACTAAATTAACTCACCTACCTATGTTCAATTAACTCAACTTACTAATTGATCCTACCTATCTGTACGATTATAAAGAAAAAAGTAAAGAAAAGAGGATAAAACATCAAGCAAACAAAACAAAGAATGTATGTATGTATGTGTGTATGTATGCATGTGTGTGTTTGTATGTGTGTATGTATGACCGTGCAATAATAATAACAATAAAATAAACGAACAAACCTAGAAATAATAAGTAACGAATAAAATAAACTAACAAATCTAATAGAAAGTAACGAATGGTCTAGAAATAATAAACAACTTAACCAAACTTAACTAAAATATAACAAAAATAATATTGTGTTGATTGTTGTGTTTGATTGCTTTGTTGGTGTTGTGTTGAACAAAAAAACAATACAAAACAGTACAATACAAATAAACTAGAACGTAAGAAAGAAAGAATAGAGTCCCTAACTTACCTATGTTCACTAAATTAACTCACCTACCTATGTTTAATTAGCTCAACTTACTAATTAATCCTACCTATTTGTACAATTACGAAGAAAAAAGTAAGGAAAAGAGGATAAAACATCAAGCAAACAAAACAACGAATGTATGTATGTATATATGTATGTATGTGTGTATGTATGCATGTGTGTGTTTGTATGTGTGTATGTATGACCGCGCAAAAATAATAACAATAAAATAAACGAACAAATCTAGAAATAACAAGTAACGAATAAAATAAACGAAAAAATCCAATAGAAAGTAACGAATGGTCTAGAAATAATAAACAGCTTAACCAAACTTAACTAAAATATAACAAAAATAATATTGCGTTGATTGTTGTGTTTGATTGCTTTGTTGGTGTTGTGTTGAACAAAAAAACAATACAAAACAGTACAATACAAATAAACTAGAACGTAAGAAAGAAAGAATAGAGTCCCTAACTTACCTATGTTCACTAAATTAACTCACCTACCTATGTTTAATTAGCTCAACTTAAGAATTAAACTTACCTATTTGTACAATTACGAAGAAAAAAGTAAGGAAAAGAGGATAAAACATAAAGCAAACAAAACAACGAATGTATGTATGTATGTCTGTATGAATGTATGTATGTGTGTGTTTATGTATGACCGCGCAATAGTAATAACAATTAAATAAACGAATTAATCTAGAAATAATAAGTAACGAATAAAATAAACGAATAAATCTAGAATTAATAAGTAATAAATAAAATAAATGAACAAATCTAGAAATAATAAGTAACGAATAAAATAAACGAACAAATCTACTAATAATAAGTAACGAACACGTCTAGAAATAATAAATAACTTAACTAAAATAAAGAAATAAAAAAAGGGACCAGGCGCTAAGGGAATGCCCTAAAGCGCCCGGTCGGTTTTCAACGCATTTTCGGCTCCTATTTATACCAGTTCCATTCATATATTCTTATCATTTCAATCATTGACATTATTAAAAAGCTTTATTTAATGTATAGGAAACATTATTATAAGTGTTTAACAACAATATATTAACTGTACTAGAATGAATTCATTGATATATATGCTATCTATACTAGTAGGAAATTAAGGAACGCCACCCTAACTTCCTGATTGACTCGTTTGGTTTGAAAACCGGATAACGTACACGTACACACGCAATTAATAATATTTTTATTTAATTATTAAAGAGGTTATTATTTAAAAAATTATTTTAGTTACTTGTATGCTTGTGTATGTATATATTTGTCGTTATGAATTCCAAATTTACTTGCCACCGCTCCTTACTTGAACAATTTTGAAATTTATATATGTACATGTAAATGTTTGTGTATGTCTATATATATATTTATATATTCATTCATTCATTCGTTCGTTCATTCATTTATCTGTTCATTCATTCATTCATTTGGTCGTTTATTCGTTCATTCATTCGTTCGTTCGTTCAACCATTCATTCATTCATTCGTTCGTTCGTTCGTTCATCCATCCAGTCATTCACACAGTTTCCATAGATAAGCTTAGTGTTGGAGTTAATTATTTAAATATATTTTTAAACGGATGGTTTTAAATAAAATTTTGGTTTATTTTATTCCTTTTATTTCATCATTTCCTGTGTCTATATCACACACACCACACACACACACACACACACACACACACACACAAACACTAATTTTTTTCTTGTTAGTCTGTTTTTGTCTGTCTGCTGGTTTGTTTGTATTGTTTGTCGATTTGTTAGTTTGTTTGTTTCATTGTTTGTTCGTTTGCCTGTTTGTTTATTATTTAATTACATTTTTATCTGATTTAAATTAAATTAAAACTTTATTCATTTGTTTCATTTCATATGTATATCACGCAGGCTATACACTTACTTACTCAAAAACACGTGCATATGCGTATTTATCTTTTTTTTGTACGTCTGTTTGTATGTATGTTTGGTTGTTTGGCTGGCTGGTTGGTAGGTTGGTTGAAAGGTTGATACTTTGGCTGTTTAGTTGATAGATCGGTTGTTTCGGTTGGTTGGTTGGTTGTTCGGTTGTTTCGTTGGTAGTTTGGTTGACTGTTTGGTTGGTATGCTCTGTGTGTGTGCGTGTGCGTGTCCAAGCTGGTGTACTTGAAACCGCTCCTTTCTTACTCTACCATTTAAGAAAAAATTTTGTTTGTATATGTGTGTGTGTATTTGTTAATTTTTTGGTGACATTTTTTGTTTGTTTCTCCGTTCGTTCGTTTGTTTGTTGATTTAATCATACATTTGTTTTAATAGTTATTTAAATCTAGACATAATATTTGGAAAAAATTTGATGTTTGTCGAATATGCTGAATACCTAACAATAGAACGTTTTCAATGTCTATTACGCAGTTAAAATTGTTCTCACATCGTCAATGCTGTCATTCAATCAACAGTCTAATAATGAACGTTCCAAAATAATTCACATTTCGACTCGTTTCAATTAATTTCGACAAAATTCAACTTGAATTCGAGTGACTTTCAAGCTATAATTGCACTTGCTCGGCTCAGCTCGCGATCGAACCCTCTACGAGAAGGTCAACAAAAAACGGTCGGCACTAATATTGGCCGGACCGCTCGAAATCTTGATGTTTTCGATATATAGTATCATGATTCGACTGAATTGTTATCATTACCTGTGTATCACCAAATACACAGTATAGCACGATTTTTTAATGTGACGCTGATATAGTAACGAAATTAATATTAGCAATAGACAAAAAGGTCAGTAGCCATGCAGTAATAATACTTATTCAACGAGCTCGTATAATTACACCTACTTACATTACTTATACTTGCACGCACACGCACACGCACGCGCACATACACACATACAACATCGTACGATCAACCAACATATGAAAGGAAGTTTTTTAAATTTTATTAAATCACTTTGTTTTTAAGATTTATTGAAAGATAAGTATCATTGAAACGGGATTGGTAATTCGGAACGAAACCGTTTGGGGAAATGACGTCATTTTAAAAGTAGTTTCACAGTACGTTAGTGAATTAGCCGGAATAAACATTGTATTCGATTCCTATAAATAGATAGATATGTGTAGTTATTATATATATATATATATATTTATACATTTAAATTTTACAATTAAAGTGAAGTAAGGTGTGTAGAGTCAAATTATTTTGAATTCTCTCGGAATAATTTGATTTGAACCGCGCGCGTACATACATGTAGTAGTACATACACATGTAAACATTGATTTCCGTTGGTTTTATAATGAAGTTATATAAAAAATATATATAAAGAATTTAGAATTTATGTATACAAATAATTATCAAGATTATATGTTTACCTAAAAAAATACAGCAGTTCCAACCAGTCAATCAATCAGAATGTTTCGAAGTTTGAGTAGTTCTGTTGTCAAGAATGTATATTAGTGCATTACAAAAAATCAAAAATCAATAACATTGAAACAATAAAATTTTTACAGATGTTAATGATTAAATTGATTGTATGTATAATA